TTAAAATAATCTCTTTACAAATTGTAATTAACTAATAGAAATTACAGGAATTTTTTTCCTAAAGATATTTAAAATTTTCTAAAAAAATGTTTCATAAATAAAATAATTTTGGAAATTTTTGTATAAAAATGGTGCAAATTATTATTTTTTTTAAAGAAGAACAGAAGTTTGTTAACAAATTGTGATAAGAAACAGTAATTTTATAAAATTTTTTTCTACCTTTTCAAAAAGAAATTAAAAATTTTGTAAACAAAATTGTGATTGAGAAACAGGTAATATGCAAAATAGTTTCTATTTTCTTAATCTTAATTTTTTTTAATAATTTTCTAACATTCATAAAAATTATGGAATTTCACAAATTTTAGGAAAATAAATATTATAAATCATTACTTTTTAGAAAAACTTTTTTTAGAAATCGAAACTTGTTAGAAAAACTTTTTTTAGAAAACAGATTTCATTAGAAATTGCTTTTTTTAGACAAAAACGATTAGAAACTATGTTTTAAAAAAAGTGACCACCTACCATAAATTTTATCAACAAATATTTTTAAATAATTGAATTCTTTTGACGAATTTTAATAACATTTTTAAGAATAATAATTACATTTTTCGAGAAATTCGATTAAAATTGTATTAAAAATAATTGAAATTTTGCTATGAGTTTTATTATTTGTGAATATAATTCAATTCCTAAAAAGAATTTTATTATTTACGAAAATAATTGAATCCCTGTAAAATTTTTATTATTTATGAAAATAATTAAATGTTTGCGTAGAATTTTATACAAATTTTGATTAAATAATTGAATTCTTTTGAAAAATTTTATTGAAATAGTAGATATTGAAAATCATTGAATTGAGGAAAATTTTTGAAAATAATTGAATTTTGAAGAAAAATTTTATTATTTATAATTAGATAATTGAAATTTTGACGAGAAATTAAAAATTTTTTTAGTATATAATATTGAATTTGTGGGAAGAATTTTATTACTTTTGAAAATAATTGAATTTCTTCAATCATTTGTAACTTCTCCAAAATTCATTTTTATAGTGTTTTAACTAAAATTTTTTTATAAATCCTTTATTTTTAATAATTAATTAAATATATTATTAAAAAATTTAACTATATTTTCAGAAGAATTCGAATTACTTAAATTTTTCCAAAATCTAAGTTCTTCAAAATTTCTAATTAAATTCATTCAAAATTGAAATATTATAAAATTTTAAATTGAAACCTTTTGAAGTTTATCCATTTATGAAAATTGTAAACGCAATTCTTTTAAAATTCAATTAATTGAAAAATTAAAATTTCTCTTTTAAATACGAAAGCAGAAAATATAGAGTAAGATAAAAGTTTTCTTTCTATTATTTATCAGATTCGCACTTCTAAAGAATTTTAACAGCTTATTTTTCATAAGGAATTGAAAAAAGGTTTTTTCTTCTCCTTCTTTCTAAATCTTTCCACTAATTTATTACCGCAATAAAGTGTGGAAAAAAGAATTCGTCTATCTTATTTAGTACCTCTCTGAGAATTTAACAATTACCAACAAACTCACAGGACTAGGAGAATCGTCCTGGGAATATATAGATAGGGAACAAGTCTTGAATTACTATAAAAGTTCTTCTAGTCACGCCAGAAAGAGTGAGAGAGAAAGAGAGAGGGAGAGAGAATTTTCTCAATGGGTCATTGACCCACGTCTTAGTTTGTATTTCCGCTATCTCACCCTCAGGAAGTGTAATTCAATTCAGCAATTTCAAACTTTTCTTGCATTCAATTTTCTTTACTACTTTTCCATTTTATATTGACGAGTTGTGACGTGTTCTCCATTCGATGCAATGTAAATTCACCGCCCTAACCCTTTTTTATTTTTTTCAATTCAGTTCACGAGTAAAGGAACACTTTGTTTTCTTTCCACACAAAAAAAAAGATATTGTACAGATTTTTTCATAAATTTGTCATTTTTACTGTTTTGGAGCACCTATGATTTTTTTTCCTCGGGGTATATAAAAATATTTTTTTTTGTATTTTTATTTATTAATTTTTATAACGTTCGTAAAAAACATAGCGTTTGTTCAATATTTTCTGTATTTTTCTCAACTTTATAAACAATTTAATGTTTTTACGACTTGAAATAACATTTATGGTTGCATTTAAAGTTGCAGTTGTGTATTTAAACTAACGAAATTGCTTTGAAAATTGCCGGCATTTTGTCCGTTGGAATCTTCTCTTGTAATTTGGAGAAAATCGCAAATTTTCTCCAGAGCTGCGAATTTTGGTTTCATTTTATTTCATCAGATGTATTTTTTTTATATTTTCTATAGAAAAAACAATATATTTGACTCGGAGTCCACTAAAGTATTTATTTGTTTCTAATAAATGTTATTTGAATACAAATACAAATTTTATTTGCGCTAAATTTTTATTTAGGAAAAATTTTGTTTAAGGGGAGAAACCACAATTAGGATGTTGATTTTCAAGCGTTTTTAATGAATTTTTTTTGAAAGGGAAAAAATGATTTAAATTTATTAAAACTTGGACATTATTTTGATTAATATCTCAGCAACATTTTACAATTTTTTTTTAAAGTTTTTCAGTCTAAAATTTAAAAGTTATAAATTGTTTTTGTATAAGACGCTACGTTGTCGGATTTTGTAAAATAAGCGTAAAACTTGCAAGCTCACAATTTTTATCTAAAAGCAAAAACAAATTTTTTCTCACATTATTTACATCATTTATTATTAACTAAAAAATTACGAAATTGATTTTTTTTAATTACATTTCTTTTAGTTGAACAATTTTGAAACAAACAATTTTATAGAAATTCGTATAAACACTGGGTTGCTACGCTTTTGCTCTTTTCAAATTCCCTGACTTTTCCAAGTTTTCCAGGTTAAAAAACGGAATTTTTCCAGGTTTTTAAAATGAAAATTATTCGAAAACATCAATAACTTCATTTTTAAATAAATATTTAATCATTATTTCTTTTTATAGAAAAATTAAGATATTCAAAAACTAAATAATTCTTTAATTTTTTTTTAATAATTTTTTAAACAGTTCTTCTTTGTAAATTTTCAAATTCTTTTGTTTACAATTTAATTTTACGAAATTTCGATTATTCTGCCATTTTTCAATTAAATATATTAGAAATTAAAAACTTTAAATAATTAAAAAAAATTCCATTAAACTTATTGAGAAAAATTAATTTTATAGAATTCTTAATTAAAAGCATAAAAAGTACAAATTTTCAAAGATTTTAATTTGAAATTCATTTTTAAATCAATATTTACTAGAAAATTCTACGAGAATTAAATTATTTAACTATAAAAATAAATATTTTATTAAACAATTTATTGTTTCTTAAAATTGAATTTTCATAAAGAATTTTATCAACAAATTTTTAAATAATTGAATTCTGCCAAGAATTTTATTAAAACTTTTGAAAATCAATTATTTGTAAATTTTTAAACATAATTGGATTTCCGCGAAGAATTTTACTAAAATTATTTTGGAAAAAATTGAATTGTTACGCAAAGAATTTCATTAAAATTATTGAAAAATAATTTTATTCTTTAAAGAAATTTAATTAAAAATGTATTGAAAATAATAGAATTCTTAAGAAGAATTTTTTTTACATTTTCTAGAAATAATTGAATTCTTTCGACGAATTTTAATAAAATTTTTGAGAATAATAACTTTTTCCAGGAATTCCATTAAAATTTTATTAAAAATAATTGAAATTCAGCATTGAGTTTTATTATTTATGAAAATAATTGAACCCCTGTAAAAAATATTAATATTTATGAAAATAATTGAATAAAATATGAAAATAATTTGTAAATAATTGAATTCCTGTGAAATGTTTGCGTAGAATTTTATAAAAAAGTTTTTTAACCAATTGAATTCTATTAGGAATTTTTATTAAAGTAGTAGATATTAAAAATCATTGAATTGAGGAAAGTTTTTGAAAATAATTAAAATTTTGCAATGAATTTTATTAAAATTTTTGAAAATAATTGAATTTTGGCGAAGAATTTTTCTATTTATAGATAATAATTGAATAGTTGACGAGAATTTTTTTTTAAATTGTTGAAAATAATTGAATTCTGGTAAGAATTATATTAATTTTTAAAAATATTTCAATTCCTGCGAAAAATTTTATTAATTTTTGAAAATAATTGAATTTTTGTGAAAAAATCTATCAGTTTTTAAAAATAATTAAATTTTACTAATTTTAAAAATAATTGAATTTCTGTTAAGAATTTTACTAATTTTTTGAAAATAATTGAATTTCTGCTAATAATTTTAATAATTTTTTGAAAATAATTGAATTCCTGTGAAAATTTTTACTAATTTTGAAAAGTAATTAAATTCTTGAGAAGAATTTTATTTAAAATTTGTGAAAATAATTGAACCCTGCGAAGAATTTTATTAATTTTTAAAAAGAATTGAATTCTTGTAAAGAAATCTATCAGTTTTTGAAAATAATTGAATTTCTGTATGAAGAAATCTATTAATTTTAGAAAATAATTGAATTTCTATTAAGAATTTTACTAATTTTAGAAAATAATTGATTTCCTGTGAATAATTTTACTAATTTTAGAAAATAATTGAATTTCTGTGGAAAATTTTACTAATTTAAAAAAAATAATTGAATTTCTGAGAAGAATTTTACTAACTTTTGAAAATAATTGAATTTCCGCAATAATTTGCAATTGCTTCAAAATTCAATTTGTTTTAGTGTTTTTAACTAAAATTTTTCGATAAATACATTATTTTCAATAAAACTGGTTTTAAATATATGATATTAAAAAATTTAACTAATTTCAGAAGAATTTTAGTTTAAACATTTTTTTAAAAATCTTTTTTTATATTTCTAATTAAATTCATTTAAAATTAAAATTTTACAAAATTTCAAATCAAAATCTTTTGAGAAATAAACACAATAACTTTAGAAAAAAACAATTTTCCAGGATTTTGATAAAAATTCCCTGACATTTCCAGGTTTTCCAGGTTTCCAGGTTGCGTAGCAACACTGAAACAACATTTAAATGCAACAGTCGAGAACAAAATTTTCTGCATGATGCGCTCATCTTTCGCAATCATGTGCGTTTTTTAATCTCTTCACGTCCACATTTAGTGAATTGTAAAAGGATCCATATTGGAAAATGTTTTTCAAAAAGTCATTTTAATTAAAAGGATTCTGCTCACAATTTAACTAGCACGTTTCAACTATAATTAACAGCTAATAAACATTCTGTCTGGCAGTGTCGTTCGGACGTGACAAACGAGTTTGCGTCCTCATCTTCTCTCTTATATACAATGTTATCCTACCTTGTGGTATGCACATTATGTCAATTTAAATCGGTATATAAAATTTTAAATTATTCGAGATGAAAAAAATATTATTTCCAGTCAAAAAAGAAAAAAAAATGCTGCACAGAATTGTTCTTTTTAAACCGAGGGTATTATTTATTTCCTGGTATCGATGACAACAACGATGACTAAAAGCAATTTTATCCCAATTGTTGTGATGTAGACAAAAAATCTTTGGAATACGTTTTTTTTAAATTACTTTTTAACAAATTATTATTTATCGTGTTTTTTTTGCCCTGTATTAACACTTTGCGAAATTGAAAATTGAAACAATATATCACTTCCATCTTTTTGGTGCAAACTTGGAGTCCGATTTTTAACATCATACTGTATGCAGAGGTGTAGAACTAGCATAAAAAAGTAATACAATAATTATGCGTTTTCTGAGAAGCTGCGCATCTAAAATCAAACCAAAAAAATATGGGAATGCAGAGATGGGATTGAACTTGCAAATAAAAAATAATATTCTAACTAATATACAGTTTTTTGAAAATAGCTGAGCATCTAAGAATCATTTGCCACCAGGACTCTTGACAGATTTTGGTGAATTATCTTAGTCTTTAAGTAATTGCAGCATACATTCGAAAATCATGACGCTCCTGATTCATTAAATCTTGCGTAAAGAAGTAAAAATAATTACAATTCCAGTCGAGAAATGTCTGATGGGTATTCTAAAGAAATGGGTGCCTAGAGGTACTTCACATTAATGCTAAGTAATAAAAAAAATCCCCCGAGTTCTTTAATCAACAGAGTTAATATTTAGAATTCATTGTTCCCTTTAAGATTAAACGAAACAATCTTCCATTGATGGCAACATTTATACATCCATTTAAAATTTTCAAAATCCACTCTTTTGCGCGATGGTAGTTATTTATATCTCAATAGATCTGATTTCATTTTATGTCCAGACAAAGAGAATGAAAGTATTAAAAATTGGCGACAGTGCAAATCTTTTCGAGAAATATAAAATTTTTCATCATGACTAAAGAAAATGATCGGATTTCAAGAAAATCGAGTTTTCGAAATATCATTTCTTTTTTTATATCACTTGGACTGTCCCGCGGTTAACGAACCATTTATTATATAAAATTCTTGCTTCTATATTTGGATGGAGAGAATCTATTTTTAAAAAAAAGCTGAGAGACTTTTCTTGGGGTGTATATATAGTATGGAGGGATGTAGACTTAAAAATCATTAAAGAAATTTCATTCAAGAAGGGTAAAGGAGAAATATCACTTTCAAAGTTAACTGAAAATTATTTTATCGATTCAGGTCAAAGTCGTGCAGTCATGATTATGTCGTTACTCCATATAGCAAAAGCCATTGACGACTGCTTGAGTCCTTTTGATACTTATCGCAATTTTATGACGCTCGATTTATCTCCTTTATATGTTTACTCTTCCCACCTATATTCATTAAGAACTTTTATTTTCAATATCACAAAGAATCCATTTTTCCAAATTGTTATGATTTTTATTGACTAAATTTTAATTTCCTTAATTCTAATTCTTTGAAATCCATTTCTTTTAATTCGAATTCTTTGAAATCTATGATAATTGTTCGTAATTCTGATTCTTTTAAATCTAAATAAAAAATAAAGATAAAATAAAGATCTATTTAAATCTTAACAAAAAGAATAATTGATAAATTACTAAATAGACGAAATTGTCTTGAAATTTTTGATGAACAGCTTTTGTTGACAAGTATAAAAAAACTTATACAACGCATTATAATTCTGCAATTAAATTAATTGGTATTAAATTGATAATTTATAACAAGTTATAAATTGAAAACAAGTTTTCATTATTGATTTATGACGAGTAATTAAAGCAAATTCTCATTGTTCGTATAAATTATTATTGACTGTAATATCTTGCATATATACAACATATAAATTGTGAATTCGTAGAAATACGAAAAGTGGGAATTAACTTTGTTTTAATCGTGTGCGATTTGTTGATCGACAGTTTTGCCCTTTGCCTTTTTCTCCAAGTTTGTCCTCCTTTTTTTTTATTACAATTTTGATGGTCACATCTTTTAATTAAATTTGCCGCTCACACAGCTTGAGTATATGTTCAATTGATTGTTAGAGGCAATCTGCCACTATAGACGTTTGACTTTGGTCAAAGTTTTCTTCCATCCAACGTGTAAATACTATTGGCGCCGTTACGATCGGAAAAAGACATTAATTTTTTTTTTATAACTTATAATAACTGAAACGGGAAGAGGGAAAAATTGTTATATATACCTTTTTGCGATATTGGTCTCTTCTTGTTGCGAGCACTTACTTTTTTGTTTGCTTTTATTTTCTTTTTGCATTTTCTTCTGAATTATGAATCTAAGAGATAATTTGTTTTGAGGTTTGGTTTTTTGTTAGTAGTAGGTTTTATTTGGATTTGTATTAAAACTGTTTTTAGCGAAACTGTTACTGATTTTTTTATTTTCGTGGCGGAAAGTGAATTCAGATTTGAATGGTTTGTTAAAAAGGAAAAATAATTAATTCTATTTTGAATGGAGCATTTAGGAGCAGGAATTGTCTGGAGATAATGACAGATTATTGATTTTGGTTCTTGAAATTTGTCCGAATCTTAAACCAATTTAAGTATCGACAACAAATTGGTCCAAAGTTTTTAGGCTTCGATAGCAGATTTCTGTAGAACCTAAATTATTTTCTACAATAAGTTTAACCGAAATTTTTAGTTCTAGACAAAAGTTTCGTTTGAAGCCAAAAGTTTGTTGAAAATCTTTGTTCAGATTTGTCATAAAAAATTATGATTTGACAACAACATTATTCGAAACGAACTTCGAAAGTCATCTTAGAACAGTTTTACAAATTGTTCATTTTGCAGATTTTTGATTTTGGGAACATAGTATGTCGAGAAAGGAATTTCGACATTAACAACTAATTCCTTCTGATTTTTGACATTCGATATCTGCAACTAATCCAAGTGTGGCTAACAGTATGGCCCAAATTTTTTAGTCATCAGATTCCTGTAGAAACTGAATTAAATTTGACAACTTTTCTCGAATCCGAAACAGTCTTTTCAGCAACTATAGCTAATTTCATAAATGTTTTTTCTTCTTTTCAAGAAACATTAATGCCTAACGGAAATTTAATTTTAGAAGTACATCCACATTGAATTTTGAGAACAATAACATTAACCAAAACCAGGATTCAATTTTGAGAAAAGAGCATTGTCTGGAAATAAACTTCGAATTTGTCGATAGTTTGTCGAGAAGCGGCTCCAGACATCAATAAAACGGATTCATTCGAAATCGAATGTAGGTTTCGAGAACAGCATTGACCGAAACTAATCCAATTAAAGTGTCGACAACAGTTTTATCAGAATTTTTTTCCGCAAGTTTTCTCAGTATTTTTATTCTGAATCAAAATTGATTTCATTGACACCTTTTTACATACACATACACATACACAACAATAAAAAATTAAGAACCATCAAAAAGATGTTTAAGAAAATTGTAATTGATTTGAATTGTAATTATGATTTTAATTAAAAAGAAGAATTGAAACAATTTTAAATTTATTCTGATCGGAAGAGATTTAGGAAACTGTTAGATAAATAGCGTTTTAGATAACAAAAGGGAACTATAGTGAATCAAAATCTCAATTTGTTTACTAACAAATAATGTCATAGATTTTCACATAAAATTTACAAGTGAACAGTCTATTTGTTGCTTTTCTAATGCATAACAAATTAATGTCCCTCTGACGTAAAATTGGATTCCTGAACTACCCACCTGCAAACACTTCACATTCTCATGAAATTTTCAATCTCTGTTTATTGTTACAACAACATTTTTTCATTAATTTTAATAACTTCCTTGTAATAAAATTTCAATAATAAGTTAAAAATTTGCCTCTCATGTTTTTTTTCCTGCAACATGGGACCAACAAACTGAAACGATTTTTGGTCCCAATAAAAATTGTTTAAGTATAAAGAAAGTAATTCACCTTGTTCAGATTACAAATTTAATTAAATTTATTTTTTATTTACATTACCTATTTAAATTTATTTTTCCACTTATTTACTTCTTGACTGAAACATAATCTTGAAAATAATTTTGGAGAAGTTACAGTAACAATTCTTATAAATTATTTATTAAATTTCAAAGGATTTGAAATTTTTTAAAATCTTAATTCCTGTGGAAAAATAATAGTAATGATTAAATATCTATTTATTTAAAAAAACTGTTCATGTTCTGAATAAATTTACATTTAAAGATATTCAAAAATGTATTACAAACATTTTTTTGTGCATCTAATTTTTTTAGAGTCGATTAGAATATTCTTTAGGCTCAGGGAAAAAGTGAAAGTTCTGTCTGGAAATCAGGAAAAAGTTAGGCGAAAATAGAATAAAATTTTCGTTGCAAACTCAGATAATAATTTTCAAGGAAAAATATTTCTTGAATTGAAAATTAATTTGTTTTTAGAAGAAATAATAAAGTTCTACTGGCAAGGACAAATAAATAAATTTCTCATCGAATTTTTAACGTAATTTTTTCAATTCTTTTTTTTTAAACACTGAATTATAATAGTTACAAGAGGAGTCCGATTTCGCGACACTGAAAATCAATCAGAGCATGAACTTGTTGGTCCATGAAAGCTATAATGGAATCTGGGAATGGGTTCGCGATTAAAGACTTTTCTAAGGTAGCAAGCACTCAACCACCCGCTGACCTTTTTAAACCATGTGAAGCAAAATCGAGAGAAATCTTTTGCCTACTGCGCGAAAACTATGTATTTTGCTTGCGTCATTAAAGCTCCCACTTCCGGGTCATTAAGTCATTAAACTTGTATTTTATAATGAAAAAAAATCACTTTTCTTTGAAATAAAAAAAAATTTTTCTTTTCTTCGAACAATTTTACACCGACTTGCAATTTTTTTCGAAAAGAA